CTATAAATGATGAGGTTGTACTCTCTCTATTAAGACATTAAATGACCCAGCAGTATTGTAGTTACACTGTGGGTCAGGGAGAATTTTTGCCCCCAGCCAGGAAAGAATTTACTGATGGGTTTCTAAACCTTTTCTTTTTACATTCCCAAAACTTTACACGTTATTACAAGTAAAATGCATTCGTAATTGTAAAAGAATGAAGAAAAAAAGAAACCACCTTCCATAAATATTATCAGTACTTTCAAAAGCTAATTTTGAATTCTTTAAGACAGCAGATCAGTGAAAGAGACTGCCAATCTGAACAAAGAGCCTGTCTGGCCTCCTCGTCTCCTCTTTGAACACAATCACTGATTCCAATAGATTTTATCAGCACTGTGGAACTTCAAAGTCCTCAGAAGGAAAATATGATTTGATGAAAACCTCCACCCTCAAAAGGGCAAATACATAAAATATTCTTCCAAGGCTCCCTGCCTCTGGTGTTTGGTGAGTTTTTAAGCACATGTCCAGGTGAAAGACTGTTTCCAAACTCCACCTACTCCCTTGGATTCATGCCAAATAAGTTATAAGCAGACACATTTATCTTTGTCATTTGGTACACTAAACGAGAGCTGTCGCAATGGGGTAATAGCACCTTTTTTACCTTTTATTCAATGGTGATATAGACAGTGGACATTTCTTAAATTACACTGTGAAGAATTATAGGAACACAGTAGCAATTTCTGTTATACTTAAGCAGGCAAATTTCTCTCCACCACATAATTTACAGAACTCAAATTCAATAAAACATTACATGATGGTCCATTACTGTTATCAGTTTTGAATAATCCATCTTCATTCTTCATTTTACTGGAAAATAAAGTGTGCCAAAGACAAGAGGCAGGGGGTGAAGAGGGGAAAAAAAAAAACCCAACACTGCATGGGATCAGACTTAAACTCTGCTTTTTTTTTTTTTTAAACCAAAGGCACTAAAGAATATATTTCCTTCTATCACAACCTAAAAATAGCAATATGACAAAGAGGTGAACTGATAAAGTATAAACCCCAGAAGCTTCTGCAATTATTTTTAGCCATAGGTTTCCATTAAAAAGCAATCAAACAGGAATAACTGAATGAATGGCATACACTAAAAGCCGTTATCTTCAATAGCAATTAAATAGCATATGTCCATCCATTCAGAGGAGAATTAAAATCAAAAGAAAAAAACAATTATCTCAGCTTTACCTTAAAGTTTTCAGAAAAGGTTGGCTTAAAAATTTTTAAAGAGTCCTGTGTGAAAGTTGTGAGGAGGGTTATGTTTTAATTCAGGAGACCTCGCTAAGACGATGAGAAAAAATCTCCAATTTAAAATTAAAACATCAAACATGGGATTTGCAAGTTATACGAAGCAGTCAATGACTTAAAAAAAAATCCCTTGACTCACATCATCGTCATCTATTAATGTTTTAACATACTGTTTATGGGATACAATGACTTTATCCAATTATATCATAGAACTTTGATTTGTATGTACATATTTTACATTAAATTTTTTTTAAGTTGGGGTTGGAATTGCACATTGTACTAAGTGCACACAAATGTGTGATGTGTTATTTAACTCTGCAGAGCGCCCTGTCTATACATATGCATTAGCATGTGTATTTTCGTACGCCACACTCACACCATACACTCTCTCTGCACCTGCTTTTATTGAAATGCATGCACTTCGAAATAAACACACTACATGCATTCATATGAATGTATAATCATTAAAATAAATGCAGCTGTGTGTGTGTGCCTGTGTGTGTGTGTGTGTGTGTGTGTTGGATTTTAAGTATGACCACCCGAAATACATGCATGCTTGCGTGTGCAAAAGCTACTTTTCAAAAGCTGCACACTTTAATATACATAAAGAAATACTCTTCGTTTAAAGCCAAATAGCTAGGGCCCAGCACCCACTTTTACTGAAGAGTACCACATATCAAAATAAAGATGTCAAGTCTAATGCCTTTACCACCCAGGACCTCGGACACACTGGTTTGGACATAACTTTTTCTAAACGGGCTCTTCTTAGGAGGCTCTGTAACCAACGGTACCAAGTTTTTCATTCTACTCTCCGTAGAAAGAGTCACACTTTTTGATGTTAACCACAGACGTGGCCATCTTTTCAACAGGATTAATAGAGAATCTTGCCTTTCTTCTGGTAAAAAATCCTACAGATATTCCTGGAATTTCTCAAGGTGTGGACCACAGGCAGAACACATGGTCCGTCCTCAAAGTCAGGACTTGGACATAACCCAAGAGAAGAAATGTCCTGATGGGTGGTGACCAGGGCCCCTCAGCCCAACTCCCCTGCCATGCTTCAGCATGTAAGCTTTAGGAAATAACTATTTGCTCAGTTTTTAGAGTGGGTCTCAGTAAATCTGTATCTATGTCAATGTCTTTGTAGGCTTTCAAGTCAATTCACCCTATCTTTATGGAATTTTGGAGTAGAGACTTAAACTGGTCTATTCTTTGGAGGCAGTACAACTATAGTATTGATAGTTAGAAAATGATGAAAAATGCTACCAGTAGCAAGGGCATCATGAGGGTTGATTTTGATTCATCGTTCATTTATTTTCTCATACAGCTATCCCCTTACTGGGAGCAAAACAGGGCTTGCTACTCCTGTAAAGAGTCACCATCTGGAAACCCACAAGGGCAGTTCTACCCTGTCCTAGAAGGTCGCCGGGAGGCAGTACCGACTCCATGGCGGTGACTTTGGCTTTTTGGTTTATCCCCTAACTAAATGTAGCTGTTACATAAATCAGCTAAAAATGACCACTATTTCTTAAAGCTGTAAAAATATCTTAGTTGCTAAAGATATTTTTATTGAATATTAACTTGAGCCCTAACCTACTGCAATTACCCTCTTTAAAATAGATAAATAATGTACACACACACACACACACACAAAATAGATGCAGAAACTGAAAACAACACTAAGTTAAGGGCTTTGTCAGGTCTCCAAACTCCCAATCTAGTTAAGGCAAGCCAAAAATAAATCACAGCTGGGATTCTCCTAGGTACGGAAACGCTGCCAACTAGGAATTAATACTAGATTATTTTTGTACCCAGATTTTATTCTATAATCATGTAACATATAAAAAATAGAAAGGATGAGTTAAACAAAGAAAAACAACCAAAAAAACCAACAGACTTGACAAACAAGTGGTAAACCGGCAAAGTTGTAAGGATGCGTCATCATTCTTATCAAAGTTACATGGCCTTTCAGTTTTTGAATGTGCTTGGACAAAAAATAAACACCAATATATATCATACTTGTTTCCAAAAATAACAACAAAAAAACAAATTCTGGTTCACATTCTAATCAAGATCTGTTTAGGGCTCTCAAGTATCTTTATCTGATGACTTCTCATATATCATATTTTCTCCATGCCTCTTAAAAACATCTTCTATGCTGATCAGTATCTTCACAAGAATTTGCCCCGAGGACAAAGGTGTGAATACCAGGGGTACATACAGATCTCAGTGAGAAGTCTACAACAGTGGCCTGCAAACTAAGGCCCAGGGGCCAAACTGAGCCCTAAGCTACTTTCTAATCAGTGTATTTAAACAGGACAATGTGTGAAAGAGATCCACAGCCCCCCCCCCCCCACCAGCCAACCATAGTCATTATCTGGCCTTTTACAGAGAAAGGCTGCCAATGCTATGAAACACTGTACATGAATACGAAGTGGTATGATTCTCTCACAAAGGCCACGTGAGGTCAAATGCAGGCATCGCTCAAGTCCCCGAGATGTGTTTTTCTTAAAAGTTATACAGTAACTTCCTTAAAGCTCATGTACACACTCACATTATGATATGGGTGTTATCGTGAATTCAATGGAGCAGCCCTGTCCCAAAATCATGTGTTTAGGTCTTAACCTGTTAATCTATAAATATGATTGGAAACTGGGTTTTTCTTTCATAGTGTTAATGAGGGCATACCAGAGTAGATTGCATCTTAAACAGAATCAGGTCTACATGTTATGTTGGGACGAGAGTGCAGGGGCGGGGACACACACACACACACACACACACACACACACACACACACACAACATTGTTGGGAAGACCAAAGCCAATGAATCTACAAACCTAGAGGGATCAACATAGTCAAGACCTTGACTTGGATTATCACCTCCAAAATGGTGAGAAAATACATTTCTTTCCTTTGAAGGTCCAGCTTGAAATGGTCAATTTGTCACAGCGGCGCTAGGACATAATTAATGGACAGCACACCGGGCTTGGCGCTGGAAGCCCACCAATCACCTTGAGCAAGTCAGGAGTCTTGCCTCAACCTCCTGAAACAAACGGTCTTGGATTCAATGATATAGAAGCATGCGTAATGCCAGGATAGCATAGCGTTGACACCCATTTATTCGTTGCGGCCCTGGAATCTAGCTCCCTCTGAACCGTCGCTCTCCCCTTGGAAAACCAGGTCGGGGAAAGTGAGAGAGCGTAAGCAACAGCCAATAGGCTCAGATGAAGAAAAACAAAACAAGGAATTACGGTGCTAGCAGACAGCAAAAAGGCAGGTCCACAAGGAAAGCATGCGCGGGAAGATAACGGGCACCACGGGCAGGAGAGGAAGAAACCATTTAGAAGTATCACGAGACTAACCTGAGTTCTGTTAAAAGCCACACGTGCAAACACTGCCTGGGAGATTCCTGCTCGTTTCAGTTCATCACGTACCCACTGGTAGATTTCGGAAGACACCTCTGTGTTGGTTGAAACCTGCTGCTCCAAAGGCTTGTTCATAGACCGACTGACGGGGGGAGGGTGGTTCAAGTACTGTTGGTTTAAGGACTGCTGGGCTAAAAGTCTATTCACGGCATACTGCTGGTTCAGCAGCTGAGCCATCACCAGCTGCTGGTTGACCAACTGAGGACTGATGGGCGTTGATACAAGCCCAGGGTGCAGGTTGGGAAGAGGGGTCCGGACAGAGGGCTGGCTGCCGTGGGAGAGCTGTGCGGGGGATGGAGGCTGCTCGGCTGTGTTCCCTGGGACCGGCTGCTGGCCAAAGTTGACATGGTTGGCGCTTTGCTGGGATAGTTCCGAAAGGCTATCCATTTCAACTAGAGTGGACAGAAAGTAAAACCATGTGAAGGCAATGATGATAAACACGGATACCCAGGTCTGCCCTCTTCTAGGTAAAAAGAGAGTAGGTAGGGGTGAAACCAAGAGCCCATTAAACCAAGGGAATTTCAGGATGGAATTCACTAGGCTGTTCTCCTTTGGGATAAGATAAATACTCTTGCCCTTGTTTTCTTTTCTTTCTTTTTTTAATGTGGCTTAGATCCAAGACGCCAATTCCAGGAAGCTCAGTTTGGGGTTCAAATTGAACTGCTAGGTCTCCACCCTCACGGATGACTCTTACAAGCCTTGTCGGCAATGACGCTTATGTAAAGAAATGACTTCTAAAAGGGTGTCATTTGCCTAATGGCAACTAGAACCAGTGGCGGAGCTCAGAAAAAAGTTGCAACTAAAGACAACAGCAATTTATAAAGATTTTCTCGTGGTAAATATTAAATCTTGTTACTCTAAGCAAAAGATTTGGAAGGCCAAAAAGGGCCTAAGATGTTATCTATGTTCAACTTTTACCTTGCCGTGAATATAAAAAAGGAGTCAATATAAAATAATAAATATGATTAAATATGACCACAGTAATCAGTAACATCACGGAGTGCATACTGGGCCCTGTGTCAAGCATTTTTATATGGTTTATGTCGTTTTAACCACCCTGGGAAGGTTGTTTATCCGTAAGTAGCTCATAGAGTGAAGCGAATACTTGATTGTGTGGCATGCCAGCATAGCCAGTATTGCTGAGGCCCAAATATTTCCTTAAGAAGCTAGGGCTGCTTCCCGATGCTAAGAACAATCTTGCAAGAAAGGGGTGGGGAGTTGTTCTAGTACAGTGGTGGTGATGACCAATTTTGCAATTTATTCCAACCTACCCCAGTCTCTCTGTGGATTGGCTGAGTGTCAGCTCTAAGTGTGTCAAGCTCGTTGCTGCTGCAATGAGGAGACTGGTTGGACGCTCTTAACCGGAATAGTTAGGCAAGGAACTCAGAAAGGTCACGCTTTCCAAATACCATGCCACACTTCCCAGACTCTCTTTTCAATCATTATTTCTCATTTCATTACACATTCAGGTTTTATATTTAGAAGAACTTATCATGTTAGTACAGTCATGGAAATCTGAAAAATATTAACTAAGAATTAGGGGAACAATCCTTCGGTTTCTACCACTGGTATTAGCCCAAGTGGGCCATTCAGGAAGAATAGTAATTCAAGCAATTATTCCAAAAATGATGCATTATCTTCATTACAGCCTGAGGCTATAAAAGGCAAGGAATCTGTTTTGGTAGATGGATGGTTTCTGTTCAAATATTAAAAGCGAAAACACGCTCAAGTTTCAGGTCCTCTTGCCTCTGAAAACCTTTAGGAAAAGTTATTGTTGTTGTTATTAAATGGAAGTAACGGAGATAAATTGAAATACAGCTGTGCATATTAAATACCCTATTCTGACATTATTTTAAAAGACAATATTTGGAAAGGGCAAATATAGAAAAGGAAACATTAATAGAAATGAAAACATTAAACTTAATCGCAGTGTCTCTCTTTTGCAAGCACTGACAAACTCACCTGGGGGAAAATAGGATGATCCAAAAGCCGTGAAGCAAAAGTTGTAAAACATACAACTTTCACCCATCATTTGACACTACAGATAATTGTAATGTTCTTCCTAGGTTAACAGATATCGACCTCAGATGATAGGTTAAAGGTGGGTTATTACAGGGGACAATATTGGGATGAAATGGTTATGTATCACGCAGTGATTCTTCCTTTTCCCTTTTTGTATGGCCGATAAGAGCCAAGCAACAGCTATGTGCATGGAGAGCGGGAGGTTAGTGTTCCCGAAATCACATGATTGCAATCTGTGGAAACTGCAGCTTTCCTTAAAAATCAGGTGCAAACACAGGCACTTTCTGTCCCTCAAAAATAAAAACCTAGATGCATGCTATACCTCTGCAAGAGTTCACAGCTAATATTAGTTATTCATTCCAGGCCTGGTTAGGGCGTCACTGAGATGTGAAAAAATGACAGCTCCCCTCCTCACGCCTGGGTTTCCTGCCTGTCTGACAACCAAGTCAGTTTGGCTGATTTAAACACAAACATTTATTGAATTTAATTATCTCATTATACTCATACCCACCCCCACCCCCCAAAGAAACATTCTAAATTGATCTCTAATTGGGCAATCAAAAGACCTGGCTTTAGATGTGACTTTGATAAACCCCCAAATGACATGTAATGGTATGTAGCCACCGCCGCCGCAAGGATTCTGTGTTGTTGTTGTTGCTTACCCATCATATCTTTTGTCTTCTTGAAATGTTTGTACCACCTTCCAAATTCTTGACATTTTGCTGCTGAGACATTTGCATAGTAAGTGCTGTTCACAATGGACGAAATCATACTCTGCAGGAGAGGGGGCGAGAGAACATTTGTAATACATAGCAACCCAAGATGGAATCCAGAAATTATTTCAATTGGAGAAACTGGTTTTGTTGTTGTTGGTTTTTCAATCAAAGGAGCACCTGTGCATTTTGCTTTCACACTCTAGCCTGAAGCCTCAACTTCTGAAACTCCACTAAGTAGATCATCAAATGCTTATTTAAGTAGAAAGCCTATGGAGACCAGTATACAGCAATCAGCCCACTGACTGCTCTAGCATTTACAGAATCGCTATTAGTCTCTCAGAAGACTGACAGACTTCCACTAATTCCAACAAATCAACGTATGTGAAGATGACTTTATAACTGCGATTATAAAGCAATGCAGCCTCAAGCGTTAGCAACTGTATTCGGCATCCTTGCTACTCACAGGGTGGTCCGGAGAACGACAATACCTAGATTCTTGTTAGAAGTGCAGAATCCTGGGCCCCTACCCAGGCCTATTCGTTCAGGGCTTGCTTACTGTCGAGACCCTCAGGGGACACACAGACACATTAAATTTTGGACACACTTTACACTTTCCATTCCTCTTTTTTTGAATATTCCCTTGAGGGGGGCCTCTTCACATCGTTCAAAACATGGCTGCCCAATTTTAAGTAGAAGCGAACTACCCATAGAGATCCTCTATTAGAGAAAAAAAAAACAACCCAGCAATTTCCATGCTAGCTTCATCTATCGTAAACGTTGGATTCTGAACTTCAAACGAACCGTGATAACCTCAAAGACAGACATCTCATGCATAGATTTCTGCGGGCTACCATAGAAAGCCAACCAACCAGCCAAGCCACTTGCCCCTTGTCTTTAAGGTTCTGAAAATGAAAACTGCCTACAGGTTAGAGTATGGACGTTGCTGTTACGCAAGCTCAAAAGCTCACTGGCATCGAGCTGATCTGCACACACAGACATCCTCCCACTGGACAAAGGCAGTCTAGGGGCTTCCTAGGCTCTTGGCCTTTCCAGAAGTGGAGAGCCGTGTCTTGTGGTGAGGCTGTTGGTTTCAAGCTGCTGTGGTCAGTAGCCCAACCCACTATGCCAGCAGGGGTCCTTTCTGTGATCTAAATCATCTAAAAGAATTCAAATGCTTTTAGGGCAGTGGCAGGCCAGTCTCTTTTTAAGTTCACTTTCAATAAGGCGACGGGTTTCTTCCTCAGCAAATTTTGGTTTGGATCCTTTCTGTGTCTGGTTTGCTTTAACTCTAATGCCCACATTCTCTATTAACAGTTAAATAATATTCCTATCGAGTCTTAGAAATAACTAGGCTTTGAAATATCTGCCTATCCCCACTCGTAGGTGAAGAAACTCAAATTTTCTAGTTCCAACTTCAGCTGGTCTACAGTGAAAAGGTCCACAGAGGGCGGCTGGTTCTGAGAGGAGGTGAACAACCAGAAAAACCAGTGTGGGGACAAAAGTGTTGTTTAGCATTCTTTCTCTTAAGCTGCTTCTAATGCATTGCACTTCTGATCATGACTGGTAGTCCCTGAACTCCATAGCCAATGTCAATTTTGTAACATGCACACACTTCATTATGGTTGGGGAGAACTGAGGAAAAACTTTCAGAGCAGAATCTGCTAGGGGGCAAGATTTATGGGAAGTGCAACTATCGCTTCAAAGAAGCACTGGGATTGGGGGGGTGGGGGGGGACTTTCTTCCTGACAGTCATTTTCACATTTTATTTCTCTAAAACAACATCCCGAATGTGTTCACGACGCTCTGCCATCACTCCAATAACTGGCAATTTCACTAAGAGCTTCTCCCAGTCCACAGTGCAAAAGGTACTTAGCAAGGTTGCCAACACCGAGCCAGATGACCTGATCCAGTTAACAATCCGTCAGCTTCAATCACACTGACACTACTGTAATAAAGGATCAATAAAGCTGGACGCTAATACAACTAGTGAGATTGCTGATGGATACTGGTGATTCTGCAAATGGATGGCAGTTGATGGTCTTCCACTGGGGCTCAATATTTTAAAAATTACTATTATTCGTCTATCTAGACATTCTGGCAGTTCCTTCATGCCAAGAGAAGAGTTTGTGTGCATTTTAGATATCAAAAGGTGTGGAGGATCAAGATTCTGTTGCAGTTTTTACCCAACATTCAGTTGACTTCAGTTTAATGTGATGTTTGTGCTTGCTGCCCAGCGACTACGAATGAATGGGACATAGCCCCTGTCCGTAAGACGCTTACTCTCTGTTAGGAAGGCAGATCCAGAAACAGACAACTCTATTTCACGTGACTCAGTACACCGACAATGGAAAAGCTCCGAGGAGAAAGAAGAAAAAACCATAGTGGGTAAAAAAAAAAAAATTAATAAGGCTGAAATACTTCTTCAAAATTAGAGCCCATATGTAATAGTGCTATGCAGTTCATTATTATCCATATATGGAAAATAATATCCATATGTGCATAATCAGCAAAGCTCCCCAACACCCTGGTTTAACCATAAATTGGTAGGCTTTGTCCTTAAGTGACTGATGCTTTGCACGCCATGTGTGCCTAAAAACTCTGATTAACCTAAACATTAGCCTACGCAAGACAAAGCTCAAAAGACAATCTACAGCAACCAGGCATGCCAAATGATTTCTTACAGTCCCCGTCTTTCTGTGTTTGGGGACAGGTGGGAAATGGTCCATACATCAGGTAACTTAGGGTCCCCTCTATTTTTATGGGAACACTGCATTAATCTGTACCACTATGTTCTCATTTAGCCATTGCATGAGTCTCTCTGCACATCTTTGTGTTGACGTTTGAGGCGTGACTCAGATTGATGAGTTTCAAGGGCAAAAGAGAGAGATTTCCGGAGCCTGTGAAGCCATGGCATCTGAAAGTTCAAATTCGGTACTGTCATATTCAATTTGGGAAATCAGAAAGAAACGCTTGAAGCTTTGGTAATGCAAATAGCAGAAGTTGAAATCTGTCAAAAATGTCCCAGGTGGAGGGGAGCTGCAGAAGGGAACGGGAGTCATGGCAAGATGTTCAAATGAGAGGCTTGGGGTGATGAACGTGGAGCAAAAACAAACGAAAGGGGTCAGACATTTGTTTAGAAAGAAAGCACTCGTTTATGAATTCATGCAAGTCCTGAGAGCCATACCGTTTTCAACCCAACGCCTGGCATATAATAAATATGAACTAAATCTTCATTGGATGAAATCAGAATCAAAGACATCTGCCTTCAAGCCTAAGATTGTCACACATTGGTGGTATGACTTTGGGCAAATTAAATAATCATCCGAAGTCCCCCAGGTTAGAGGGGACCAACAGTCGCACTCACCTCGTCATCTGTTCTCAGACTCCATCTGTTTGGTCCTTTTCATTCTCCAGGCATTTTTTTTTTAATATTACTGATCTCCTACTATGTGCCATGCACTCGGCTGGTCACTAGATGAACGATGACTTGAAGAGACATACTATCCACGTTCTTGGCGCTTACAGTTCACCAAGAGAGGCAGATAATGAACTAATGCAAGTGAGGCAAGGAGCACAGGGCCTGGAATCTACCTCGCCAGGGCTGAAGAGACGCTCGTTACTCTGACTACCCTCCGCCTCCTCTCCCCTCCTGAACTTTTATTTCATGATTACATTTCAGAGCAGTCAAACGACTGTGCTTTAAATCAACAGCAAAATAGCAGACAAAATAGTCAAGTGATGTACGTGAACTCAAACAAAATCCTTATGAAGAACAAAGAGCATCATAAGTTAATAGTTTCAAGTTGGGTCAAGTGCTCCAGGAAAAAAAAGAGTACTTGTCCCAGGTGTTCCAAAATTTCACTTGGTGGCAAGTTCAGAAGTTGGCACGCATCTGGTAGCTGAAATGAAAGGAGACACATCCCACTCCTCTGAGTTAAATGCCTGATCCCTGCTCTGTCCCATGGCACTCACACAAGGTTCTCATCCTTCTGGATCCAGGCCGGGTATCCCTCATTCTGCTAGGCCTTTCCTGACTCCCCAAATATCCTGCAGATGCACTATGGCTTAGTGCATCCCTCGTGTGTCACACCTCACAGAGCACCCTGTCGGCAGCACAGCACCGCATTCACTGTGGACTGTGAGAACCTTGCGCCTGATCTCAGTGGAGCACATACTCATCACAGGGCTGGGCACGTATTAGGAGATCAATAACGAGTCACTGAAGTCATTACTGCAGTTCACCAGGAAAAAGGGAAAAAGAAATGCCTTTTCTTTTTTCCCCCTTCTTAAAGGTCAATGGCAGACATCGCTTAATTGTCATATGAATCTTTTTAAATGCACCACTTTTAGTTGCCACAATAGAAATCAGAGCTTCAAGAACCTTTGTTCATTAATTTGCAAGAGATCCCTTCCCAGGTTTTTCAAAATACATCCACACAGATGTCTCGGAAGTCTCAGTGCTTGGCGGGTATGTTATTCCAGTTCTCTCTCCCACCACTCCCCTCCCGCCAGTGTGAGTGTGTGTGTGTGTGTGTGTGTGTGTGTGTGTAGATACGAGTCTATTTATACAAGCTCTCCAGAGCACTTTGAAAAAGGTACAACTTGCATTGCAAGTTTTCCTATACCATGGTCAGTCTGCATAAAACATCAATGAAATAATCAGGCTGACAAAATTCAAGTAGGCTAAAATCCCAAGTTCAAATGCTACACAGTGCCCTTATCATTAAATAGGCCGCAGCTCGTCAGTGTTGGGAGTGAGAATTTAAAGTTGGCAGAAAGCGTCTGTGGATCTCAGCACCCCAGCGTGACACAATATTCTCATCCTAGGGGCCAAGTTGTAAGCTTTTCTAAGATTCATAAAGCACATGTCTACTCCCTATGAGGAGCTTCAGTTCTTTCTGAGAGTCTGCTGAAGTTCCGAGCTGAAAGAATGCCATCTTCACAGAAACCCCGGTACTCTAGAATGATACCATCTGCCACAGGCTGAGCTTCCTTTTCAGCCAAATGCATTATTTATAACCTTTCTAATCGTGAAAAGGTAAGGGTGGACTATTTGTA